AAGAAGGTCGCTGCTTAGGTTGCCGAGAATACGTAAATTCCCCTACTACCAACCAGTGGAAACTAACGATTACAAATTGGCTCACTACTTGACTAGCCTATTGGTCCCAAGCAAATCGATTAGCGTACCCCATTCTAGTCGAAATTCTAGTACTACACTATGTTTGTTTTGATTCTCTATGAAAAGTTGACAGATAAAATGAGGGGTTCGTGGATTTTCCTATGTTTGGAGGGGTGCATCGATTAGCTTGAGACCGAAAAGAGAACCAGAGCTGAGCCAAAAAGTTGGGCACGTTTCTTCGGAACCTTCTGGTCTTACGATTGAATTCTCCCGGAACTCCAACCCGATAGCAGAGCCGAACGTCAACTTATCCACCAGCTTGGGGTCCTCCTTCTTTGCATAATCCATTCCGACGTCGAAAATCCCCGAGAGCTACTTGCCCGAAATCATCACCTTCAGCAGTTCCTCTTCCAGATTGAGCAGAAAGGTGTAGGGCTTCTAAATCGTTACCGTCGGATTGACCAGCAACGTTCGGGCGACATTGGAGCAGTAGGACTTGTAACGCGCACCCAGAGCACAGATGATCGATCCAAAGTGCAGATAGTTCTTGTCGCTGAATGCACTGATCTTCAAGCTGTAATTGCCACCCGACTGGATAATCACCGGGTAGCACATGTCCAACTGGTTTGCCCGTCAGAACTTCTCGACACCCTCCGACAGCATCGATACTCTCCATGATGTGATCCTTGTGTCGAAGCACTTGTCCCTGATGAAGGCTTACCTCGATTCACAGAATTCACCCGGGAAGTTGTCCTTGGAGAAGACATCCAACGTTTTTCCATCCTTGGATCCCTTGATCGCCTGCAGCAGCTTTTCGAAATTGACCATGGCCTTGTTGTTCTTATCTTATTCTTATAGCTACAGAGTCGCCGTCAACGCTAATGACCGGCACTGCTGGCACATTCGGCACCATAGATGCCAGATGATGTTTTCAAAAGTCTGTATGAGTATTAAAAATATGTCTGCACTCAAAAAATTCCACACGTTTGATCGAAGTGTTTAAACACTTGATTTTTAAATGCACAATCACATTTACTTTAAGTGTATTTCACCTTGGTACAATGTGTTATACACGTTAATTTATAGTGTTTCAAACATTGAAATGTTGAAAATCTTTCACTATCTATTCAAGTGTATTGCACATTGAATCGCACCACTGTTCAAAAGAGATGGATTTAAAATGTTTTGCATTTCAATGCGATGTGAATTGCTTGCTCAAGAAGGTAAACATCGAAAACGACACTTGTAACTTTATCCTTTCAACCCGCCTCATATATGAGAACAACCGTGGCACAGTGAGATCGAACGAAGACTCCGGCAGCAGCCCAACACCCAACAGTCCATGATCAAATCCCAAATCAGACCCATTAAAAATATATGTGAAAGCTCTGGCCTCTGGCAGTTTTGTTTGTTTATTTGTCGATTCATTTTTAGAGTCGGTAAAGTAGAAGTCGGTAATGTAGAATATTGAACTATGATGTTCAAAGCTATTGATATCACCAAATGAGGCACACAGAATCCAAGTGAGTCACAATTCAAATCCATAGTGTTCAGGCATGATTCATAGCATAAGATTCACACATGAAATGGATGTGTTTCACAATAAGCGCAAAATTAAGTGTGAGACACATGATGATGACGTGTGGAATTTTTTGAGTGTACCTGTATATCTGGCACCGCTTTTCGGCACACTTGCGGCACACTGAGAAAAATGATCACCCAAGATTGGTGTGCGGATTAACCTACCCCTTGGTAAAAGTTGACCCACATTTTGTATAAAAAGACATTCTTATATTTATCTCAAGGCTCTGGGCGGGTATACGCCAGTGGAATGTATGTAAACGTCAAAGTGATCCAATGCTGGCACTGTGGTGGGGGATTCACGAAACTAAAAAATATTAAAATTGAACGTTACATGCGTGTACGACGATTGAGGAGAAAGAGTTACGTCTGCCTTTTTTTTTTGTGATTTATAAATCGAATGATGGCGGGTCATTGAGCATAAGCACAGAGAACAGACCTCCAACTTCCACCAAAAACTTGTGTAAAGATAAGTGGGAACGTCGCCGTCGAGTAGTGCTAGCATCTCCTGATTTCCTCTATAGAATTTCCACTCTCGACCAATTTGGCGCTAGTATCGATAAATTTTCGGTTGAAAATTACCACTCGGCACTACCGGCACTTAGTGTCTAGTGTAAGTTGTGCAACGCTAGCGCCATCACGTTGTCAAAGAGGGTTTTTAAGTGGGAAAGTCGGCGTTGGTGGCGCTTCAGCCGAATAGGAATCTTTACACAAGTTTTTACAGACATTTAGTTTGAGCCACAACGTATGTTCTCTGTGGCCTAAGTATCATAGGCATACGTATGTTGGGAATACGGACCTTAAACATTACAGATGTAAGGTTTAATGAATGGTAGACATACTTAATAACTAGTGAAATCGACGCTAGGCATACTTTTTATGACATATTAAATGAACGGTGGCAAGCACAATTTAGTTCCCATTAATAGACACTGGTTGTTTGTTTGTTTGTAATAAACTCGCCATAAAATTTAAAAATGCATGCATTCATTCATACAATCTAATCAATCCATTTTGTTAGCTATCGATTTATGAGACGCAAAAAACTTTCGTAAACTCGATGTGAATTCAGATAATACCTTGATAAGCCAAACCCTCCACCACTGTTCTATCCCGAACCAAAATCCTCATGCGCGACATCAAATCACATGCCATTTTGGTGAGAATTTTCCTTAAGTTGCTGCAACTTCCCTTAAAGTTTTATCGACTTTTCGATGCTTTTTTGATTTCCCTGAAATTCTTTCAACTTCTCTGATGCTCTCTGGACTTCCTAGAAATTCTTTGGACTATCAGAAATTCCCTGGACTTCCCTGAATTCTAGAGAACTTCTTAAAAGTTCCCATAGTTTTCCTGAAGTTCTTTGATCTTCCCTGAACGGAAATTCGTTTAAAATCTGCAAACTTTATTGAACTTCTTTGGATTTTCCTGAAGTTTTCTAAATTTACTAGTTTAGTTACTTGGTTTTTTTGTTAATTTGCCGTGAGTTTCCTTATATTCATGAATCTTCTTTGACGCTCCCGTCATTTCTCTGGAATTCCCGGAACTTCTCTATAGTTCCCGTAATTGTACTGAAATTTTCGGAACTTCTATGAAATTCTGTGGACTTCTGTGAAGTTTCCTAATCTTTTCTGAAGCTTTCTTACCTACGAGGAGTTCTTTGAACTTTCTTGGAAATATTAGGCTAATTGCCCTGAAATTCTTAATTCAAATATTTGTCGTGGTTTCAAGATTGTCACTAAAGTTCTAGACATTTCATTGAAATTCATGGCCTTAATTTATAAAAATTTAAAAAATCCTGAAAAAAATTACTTTCCAAAAAGATTCGGACCTGAGGTTGTTGCAACTTTTCTCTCCTGATTCTTCAAAATCTCTAAACTTCCCTGGACTTCTCTGAACTTCCCTGAAGGCAAGCATCCTGGAATTTATGGAACTTTCCTGCAAGTTCCTGCAACTTCTTGAAATGAGTAATTGATGCTTTAAAGTTACCTGATCTTCCCCCCAAAGTACTCTAAACTTCTCTAAAGTTAATAAAAATAGTTCTTAATCAATCTAAACCTCTCAGAAGTTACCTGAAATACCCTGAAGATCTCGGAACTTCTTAAAAGTGTTTGCTGCTGTCTGAAACTAATGGATCTACCTTGAAGTTCTCTGACCTTTGCTGAAATCTTGCATTTTTTCTAAAGTTTTGGAAATGCTCAGAAGTTTATGGAACTTTCCTTAAACTGCACCCGCATCCTCTTGATGCTCCGGTAATTTCCTGATGCTCTCGGAACTTTGCTGAAGTTTCCGATTTTTTGTTGAGATTCTCGGAACTACTTTAAAGTTTCTGCAATTTACTTGAAGTTAATGAAACTACCCGGAGGTTTGTTTTATGTTCCCTGATGCTCTTGGAGTTCTCTTAATGGACCACTTTGTCAAGCAGTTTTACCGTGACTTTCTACCAGCGATTTCAAAAAATTGGGCCAACAAATGAATATTTTACTATGAAACACACTACTTTGTGCTACTTTTCTCGTGGTTCTAGAAGAAAAACCCTCATAATATTGTGTTATTTCGAAGTTCGAGTGGTAGGAAACGTCGTTTTCAACAGCTCGAATTAAATGGTTAATTCTCGCTATTCTCCTGCCTAGAAATGAATGAAACTGTCTTAAAAATATTAAAACTTCCCTTTAGTCTATTCTTCTGTTAAATTTCTGATATATTTCGAATGTTTCTAAAATTCCAAACTCACCCTTACACCCTTATTTAAACCACCCCAAAAGTAGGAACTTTCTTAAGTTCTCGAAATTTCCCTCAATCGGAACTCCCCTAGAGATCTGTAAGCTTCCTAGCTCATGGGACATTTTATTTTATGTTCCCACAATTTTCCTCAAGTTGTGGTCCGAAAAGGAAATCTGTATGATGACGGAACTTCTCGAAAATTCTCGGAATTTACATTCAATCATCGTAACTTCTATTAGGTGTCCTACGACCACACTGCGATCAATTTCATCACGGCTTCTTTTGGACGGTCACTCTGAAATATTACAATATAAGAAGTAAATCAACTATTAGAACCGAAAGAACAATTATAATTAATCAAACACCTAGCTTGTTATGTTTCTCCATTCCTTGTAATCTATCTCCAAAAATCATTTCATACCAAAATCAATGAAAAAACAGCCGCTCAACAAGTCAAACGAAAATTAAAAGCAATCCTACCGCGTTCGTGTAAAGTGTAAACACAACCAAACATTGCATCCGGCATAATCTTCGAGCAGTTAGCTCGAATCAGATCAACAAATCAGATAGTCTAAATGAACCTTTCGCGGATAGAAATATTAAAAAAATAACTCCCTTCCACCCTCCCGCCCACATAGGACCTCACCGACATCGGCTACAATCACGTGCTGGACAACGAGCGCCTGCACCGGAACGACAAAAAGCGAGCCCACACCATCAACCGGTTGCGCCGGCTCCGTAAGGTTGGCAAACGTATTCCCCCGCCCTACCCGAATGGATGGTACGGTATTTTGGAATCGGAAACCCTAGCCATCGGTCAAGCCAAAAGTGTCGATTGTCTCGGTGAGTCACAGAATGGCGACATGCACCCGCCGGTTGTTGCATCCCGCAGCAAACACGAATAAACAGATTTCAGATTAGCATAACTTTGCATCGGTTTTCCATTTGCAGGTCAAAATTTTGTCGTTTTTCGAAGCCACAGCGGCGAGGTCAACGTCCTGGATGCTTACTGTCCCCATTTGGGTGCCAACCTGGGAGTAGGTGGTATCGTTAGGGGTGACTGTATCGAATGTCCGTTCCATCACTGGTCATTCAGCGGCCAGGATGGGCAATGTACGAATATTCCGTACATGAAATCCGGCTCGGTGCCGAAGGTGGCCAAGGTGAAGAAATGGCAGTCACTGGAAGCGAACGGGTTCATCTTTGTGTGGCACCACGTGGACGAAGAAGCCGAACCGTGGCAGATGCAGATCGTTCCCGAAGTCGAAGACGGCCGATGGGTGTACTACGGAAAGAACGAGTTTCTGGTCAACGCTCACATTCAGGATATTCCGGAAAATGGAGCTGACGTCGCACATTTGTCAGCGGTTCATGGACCGAACTGCATGTCCGGAAGCGATATCCGATACGCTAGACCGGCTTGGGCGGAGTTTGGTATGCACGCCTGGCATGCGAGGTAATTTCTTCGTTTCTAAATAATAGAAACTCTTACCCAACATAAGTCGCTCTTTTCAGCTGGTTTGCTCCGGAAGAATCCGATCCGCCACACATCGCCCGGATGGACCTGAAACATTCGTTCAAGTTCTTCAAAAAATTTGAGTTCTGTACGGTCGATGTGAAGGCTTACCAAATTGGACCGGGCTATGTACAGCTGATGATGCAAACCAGCCTCGGGCCCATGGTGGCCCTCCAGACTGTCACCCCGGTTGAGCCGCTGGTGCAGAAGGTCATCCATCGATTCTACGCGCCACGGAACTTGGGCAATGCCATCTTCCAAAGGTTTGCCATCTGGGCTGAGAGTGTTATGGTAAGTATTGTGATCGTTTCGGATGCGGTTGTTCTGACAGACGTTTTCCATTTACAGTTCGAAAGGGACATGATGATTTGGAACCACAAACAGTTTATCGATAATCCACTGCTCATCAAGGAAGACCGCTTGATCAAGTCCTATCGGAAGTGGTACAGCCAGTTTTACTCCGAGAATAGCATCAGCTACACGCTGGCCAAGGATAATCTGGACTGGTGAAGTTGGCGGAACGGAGTCGCATGGAAACTATATAATATTGATACAATATGTACTTAGAGATCTTAGATGCCACCAAACGAGGATTAGATTAGAATTAAAAGCTAAAACCCAGACGCTGCCTGTGATTACCAAAACCATAAAATACTACTACTGCTACTACTGCGTGATTGTGAAATCTACCAGAAATATATATTTTTCAGAAAGTCGAGCGTTATGAAACTTCTCCAAAGCGTATCACTCACATTTTCGTTCAGGAAGAGAAGATGGGATTGTTTTGATTTAGGTATCTGCAGAGCGATGCACTTCACATCCGGAGTTGATCCATAGCATAACGAAATTCGCGCTTGATATTTGAAATATAGTAATTATTAGAATCCGAGGCAGTATTTCCATAGAGGTAACTCTAAGACAAGTAGGTCCCGAAGAAACGTGCTCAACTTTTTGGCTCACCTCTGGTACTATCTTCGGTCCCAAGCTTGGCGAATCACCCCTCGAAACATAGGAAAAACTAATAACCCCTCATTTTATCTGTCAAACTTTCATAGCGAATCAAAATAAACATTGCGTAGTACTAGAATTTCGACTAGAATAGGGTACGTTAATCGTTTGCTTGGGACCAATAGGCTACTGAAGTGGTGAGCCAATTTAAAATCGTTAGTTTCGTATTGATTGTTGGTATTTCTCTCACGTCGGATTAGTTCGAATTCGTCCAGAATCAAAAAAGTTACAGCGATGTTTCGAAATTCGAGTTTTGTTTAATAGGACATGATTGCAATTATATTGTAGCAGATGGCACTTTTCATTAAAATTGAATTTTCGGAGCAAACAAAACATTCCGACTAGACGTTTATACATCGATTGGAATATTTTTTACTACTACACATTTACCGTTCATTAGTTTTTAGTATACATTGCATTTTCAACAAAAAAAAAACAACACATTTCCATATATTTCTTTCCGTGAGTTCGGAAAGTAAGAAGTACCCGAGAGCACAGAGAACAGACGATGAGGCTCGAACAAAATTTCTCTAAAAACTTGTGTAAAGATTCCTATTCGACTTAAGCACCACTAACGGCGACTTCCCCACTTAAAACGCCTCTTTGACAAAATGATGGCGCTGGCGTTGCAAAACTTACACTAGATTCTAAGTGCTGGTAGCGCCAAGTGGCAATTTTCAGCATATAATTTATCGATACTACACCCACTCCGACGGCCCCCCGGATCTTTGACCTGATTCCCAACATCTATGCACACTTAATCTAGCTCGGTAAAATCTCCAACAGCCGATTACTGTTGGTGACTGTTACGTCAGAGACAATTGTAGAGAGTAATTGAAACACGTCTTTATCGGTTGACGTTGAACAGTGGAAAGAAAATTTTATTCAGAAACTTAGCAACTAATAACAAGTGCATATAGCGACGCGAATTACTGGGTTGCTACGATCACAATACTCCTCCCTAATCCGCGACGCCAGTTAGCTTCCGAAACTTCTGCTGCTTCTGAACGGTCATCGGCTTCGTGAACCCATCGGCTGGCTGTTCCGTTGTCGACGTGTAGCTCAGTTGGACGACACCATGCTGCAGGCTATCATGCACGAAATGGTACCGTATACTGACGTGCTTGGTCCGGGGGTTATACGAACCGTTGTTGGCGATGCTGATTGCCGATTGATTATCGCAGCACACGGAAATCGGTTTGGCCTCGCAAAACTGCGACTGCAGATTACTCCACCACATAGCTTCCTGGATCGTGCGAGACATGGCCATGTATTCCGCTTCACAGGATGAAAGGGCTACGGTAGGCTGCTTCTTGACGTTCCACGAGATGGCACCTCCCTGCATCATGAACACATAACCGGTTGTGGATTTCCGGTCGTCCGCATCTCCTCCCCAATCGGCATCGCTGTACCCAACTATGTCCGCTGGACCGCTTGTCGAGTACTCTAGCTTCTTGGTTATTGTACCTTTCAGGTACCGGATTATCCTCTTCACCGCTTCCCAGTGAGGACGGCCAGGGTTGGCACTGTACTGGCTCACAACGTTGACGGCAAAAGCAATATCCGGTCGGGTGACTTGAGCTGCAAACGACAAACACCCGACTGCTTCCTTGTATGGCACTGACTTCATTTCTTCCATTTCAGATTTCGTCTTTGGTGCCATCGACTTGTCCAACTTGATGCTTGGATCTGCTGGTGTTGCAACTGGGTGGGCATCGGCCATACCGAAGCGATTGACGATGTCTTCAATGTAGACTTGTTGATCCAACCACAGCTTACCTTCTTCACGCTTCCTCGTGATTCTGATGCCAAGACATTGTTGCGCCTCCCCGAGGTCTTTCATTTGGAACCGCTTGTGCAGATGGGCCTTCAGCTTCTTCTTTTGCTTCCGATCGTTTGTGAAAATCAAGAGATCGTCGACGTAGATAGTCACAAACATCATCTTTCCTCCACGGATGCACCAGTACAAACAGGGATCCATGCTCGACCGTTTCAGTCCGAACTCCTACAGCACCACATCCAACTGCGCGTTCCATACGCGGCTGGACTGCTTGAGACCGTAGAGGGCCTTCTTCAGTCTGCACACCTTTCCATTCGACGCATCGAACCCTTCTGGCTGGAGCATGTAGATCTCCTCGTCCTTCAGCTCGCTCTGCAGGAATGCAGTGACCGCGTCCATTTGGTCAATATCCAAGTTGTACCGCACCGCCAGTGCCATCAGATACCGGACGGTCGCGTACCGCACGACCGGGGAGTACACCTCGTCGTAGTCCAGACCAGGTCGTTGAGAGCAGCCCTTCACCACGAGGCGGGCCTTGTACCTCTGGATGGTTCCGTCGAGACCTCGCTTCGTTCGGTACACCCACTTGTTCCGAATCGCTTTCCACCCTTCAGGCAGATCGGTGAGCACCCACGTGCTATTCTCGCTGAGGGATGCAATTTCCTCACGCATAGCCGCAATCCAATGATCTCGGTCCGGCCGCCGCAGAACCTCATCGTAGCTCGTCGGATCATCCATCGTATCATCGTCGCTCGTCGTGTTGAAGGATAACTGAGGGTAATGAACACCACCAGAAAAGGAACCGTAACTAATAAAGTCATTATACTTGCCTGGATTACGGCGCTCCCGACCGTTGCGCCTTAACCCTTGCTGCAACTCAGCTGGTCTAATCAGTTGCGGTGGGAGCGCAAAATCGGCACAGACATCCTCAAATTCGTCTGCCTCACTGGACGAACTGTCGACAACGACGATGTCTTCCTCCGTTGTTTCGGTTTCACCAGGATTGCCACCCGGTTGATCGATAACAACAGCAGGCCCGGCTGCACCAGGTACGACGATGCCATTCGGTTGTTCGCCTAGAGGAAGCACAGCGTGTTGACCATCTTCAGGAGTATCAGCTGCACCGGACTCAGGACGATCATGGATTTCATCCGAACAAAGCTCCATGAACTCCACCGGCTGCACTCGTTGTTCTGCCATACAGATAGCGACGCCTTCTTCCAGTACCATGACATCTCGGCTAACGTGGAAACGGTCATTCTCTGGATCATACACCCGGTAACCTTTCGTGTCTTCACAATAGCCGACGAAAATGCCTTTCTCGGATTTGGGATCAAACTTCTTCCTTTTCGCTTCGGTACCAGAGTCATCACGCTCGAGCCAAAAATCTTGAGGTGCTTCAAATTCGGCTTCTTTCCGGTCCACGCCTCTTCCGGCGTTTTCTCATCCAGGGAACGAGTAGGACATCGATTCACCACGTGAGCCGCGGTCGAAATAGCTTCTGCCCAAAACTCTTTTCCCAGCTTCGCATCGTTGAGCATGCACCGCGCCTTTTCAACCAGCGTGCGGTTCATGCGCTCTGCCGCCCCGTTCTGCTCAGGCGTATACGGGCACGTGGTTTGATGTCGAATCCCATCGGACTCCAACACCTTCCGGAAATCTGCATTCACGTACTCCTTTCCGTTGTCTGAACGCAAGATTTTTAGCTTCTTGCCCGTCTGTCTTTCCGCTTTGGCCTTGAACGACTTGAACGCTTCGAGTGCTTGATTTTTCTGCTTCAAGAAGTAAACCACCACCCGCTTGCTTGCATCGTCCAGGAACGTCATGAAATAATGGCTTCCACCCAACGACGAAATCTCCACTGGTCCGCAGAGGTCGGAGTGTACCAACTCCAACAGTTCTTCAGCTCTTGACTCGCTGCTTGGGAATGAACGCCTCGTATGCTTGCCCTCCAGACAGGCAACACATCCTTCTAACAACCCATCTTGGAAATCTATTCCGTTGGCGATTCGCTTGAGCTTCTTCAAACCACCTTCGTGAAGATGCCCCAGACGTCGATGCCAGAGCTCCATGCCGCTTGCCAAAAACGACTTCTCTGGCCAATTGACTCTGTAGAGGCCACCTTCCTCGACGCCGGTGACAACCAGATCACCGTCTTCGTCCCGAACTTCGCATCTGTCTTTGGTGAAAATAACAGTTTTGCCCTTTTTGCAGATCGTACTTACGGATAACAAGTTGATGGCTAGGTCGGGAATCTTCAGAACACCGCTGACATCGATTCGACCATCGTTGCTGTCCAACACGACTGAACCCTTCGCTACGACCTTCATAGTGGCATTGTTCACCCGAATCGAAATACCATTCACTGGTGCTGACGTCTCCCATGGCAAAAATGGAACAGAGACCCTTGTGTTTGCTCGCCTTTGCTTGCTGCTGCTTCTCCGGACACTTGGCAGCAAAATGACCCAGCTTCTTGCAGGTGTAACATAACTTTTCGCCTTTGCTACCGTCCTTGGATTCGCTTGGCTTCTTCCGGTTCGCTTTACTGTACAGGGCACCTTCCGCGCCGCTGCTGACCGGACCACGATCCAGCTTAACGTCCTGTAGAATTTTGGATTTCACTGCATCCGCTGTCAAACCGCTCCAGAGGCTTCGAGTCCCATTATCATGGGCTCGTACTGATCAGGAAGACCCATCAGCAACATCGCCGCGAGCCAGGAATCGTCCACCTTAAAGCCCACGGATGCAAGCTTGTGGCTTGTGCTCATTAATTCGTCCACGTACGCCTCAACGCTAGCACAGTTGATCAGCCGTACCGACGTAAATTTTCTGAGCAGTCCAATCTTCCTGGTTAGTCCACTGTCCTGGAATGCAGATTGCA